TTCTTTGTGTAATATGAAGGTCGGGTTGTTTTTATTTTATACATTCTCGTGCCTTGTTGTTTTGTTGGCACTACCCGTGTTATCAATGTGAGGATGGGCGTTACTTGGATTCGACTTGGGTATCATCGATAAAGCAGAAAACACTTACTCTTCCGGAACATTTGATCTTATTTTCCTGATACTTTTTCAAGAGCCACCATGTAAATATTTCTCATTTCAATATCTTGCCAATTTTATTTTTCGATTTTGTTTTTCGAAATATTGTTTTGCTTACACTTTCTATCTTATTTTTAGTGTCGTTTTGCTCTTTTCCTTTTACGGTCTATTTCGATTGGTTGAACCTTACTTTCGTATTGATTAGCTAATTTTATCATTACATTCTAAACTTACACATAATTATGAAATATTGGTAATATTTATCAAACTGATGTGATGTTTAGGCTCAAAGGGCAGCTGTAATAACATCCGGTAAGGATTGTTTGCACATTCGTATTTAGCTGACATTCCGGGTTCCGATTATTTCACTCATTGAACTCTTACTATGCATGGACAATCAGTGTTAATGTACTATACAGTTAACATTAGTTACGATAGCTTTTAGATTCCCACGATCTGACAAGGTCCCGACATTGTCATTCTTGATTTTGCAAGTACTCAAATATAGCTGACAAATATGTTTTAACTGAGGAAATATTTTGACATGTCAGCGCATCTTGGAGTATATGTTTGAACTGAACTGAGTCGTAAGCAATCATAAATGTTAAGCAGATGCATATACATGTATATGTACGTTAAATACAACAAAGGTGATTTTAGGTAAACTTTTTGTAGTCTTCTTCTTGATAAATATTGGAAAACATCGGACAAACTTGAGACTTTGGAATGATATGGGAGGCGTACAGCAAACCAGAAAAAAATAAACGCTAAATGTTAATCGACGACAGACCGATATGAAAAAAGTCGATAAAACGTCAGAATAATTCGGACTAAGTGTAAGTGAGGTAGCAAATGGCAAAACTTTAAATCTGTTCCTGCTGATATACGCAGATGACATGGTATTTTTTTCTGAAACACCAGAAGGCTTGCAAGACATGTTAAATTCTTTAGAAGCATTTACAAAAAAGTGGGATCTAACGGTCAATACAGATAAAACAAAAGTGCTGGTTTTTAGAAATGGTGGTATTTTAAGAAACAATGAAAATTGGACATATAACGGATGTCCTCTGGAAATCGTAAATGAATTTAATTATCTAGGTATGTTGTTAAATTACAACGGCACTTTCAGAAAAACACAGCAAAAAATAGCAGATCAAGGAAGGAAAGCTTTATTTTCAGTTATGAATGTATGTCGTAATAATTATTTTAATATTGAAACCCAACTATCAGTATTTGATACATATGTAAACAGTATTTTGTGTTACGGTTCAGAAATATGGGGTTTTCATAAAGCCCCGGATGTTGAAAAAATACATATTATGTTTTGTAAAAAATTACTCGGTGTGCGTAAAAATACTTGTAATGCTATGGTCTATTTAGAGCTTGGTAGATATCCATTATCACTGCTGAGGAAATTCAGAATTTTTAAGTAT